AAAAGCATAAAAATAGAAAATATTAAAAGTATGTTATAAAAAAATTTAAACGCGGTAGTTAGTAATAAGCGCTCTGCAAGCAGTGAACTGCGAATCAGTAAAATGCCAAATGTTTTTGCGAACGAAAACATTATATCTTAATGACCATGACAGTTATGATATTTAATAAAAAGTTTGCTCGTCAATTTTTTAATTATAAATTAAATATAAGGTTATATGATATATTTTATTTAAGTCAAATTGCATTTCCTTATTTAATTTTCCTTATTAATAATAAATTATGTTTCTGATTGAAGTCCATAAAATAAATGGTAAAATAAAAATTTAACGGCAAACGTGAAGATGAAAAACATTACATCATTAAAAACAAATAGAACAATATGATTCGCAAAAAAGTTCCCAATGTAATGGTTCGCAGTTCGTGCCTCAAATATCGCTTTATACCGACTACCTTTTTGCACATTTTTTACGTGTCCTAAAATAAATCTGGGAAGCCGTGTATTAAAACAGAAAATGATCTCTAAAAACTACTTTACTAATATGGCTTAAACAACCTGAAACTTCATTTTTTTTAAACTTGCACAATATATTGAAGGCATCCTATTCAAAAGCATAGTTAAATATTTAATTTTTTAAATAATATGGCTCCTTTTAATAGTTAGGTTACCAATTAAATTGAAGGTAATATAACCAAGTAAATTTTGTACATATTGTTTTTCAATGGTTTCTCTCTTTCGGTTTATAAGGAATAATATGCTGTTTATGATAAGTTAAAAACATTATTTTTCATAACATTATTGTTCAACATATTTCAAAATAACTACTTAAAACAAATCTATATTTAAGGATGTCTCCTGAAAAATTATTACATGAAAAAATTTGATATTGTCGGCTTTGTTTTTGTTAGCTGACTTAAGATATCTCAATTTCTAAAAGCTATTGAATTTAATATTATCATTTAGTTTTGTTATTTCAGAATTAACAATATGAGTCATACAAGCTTTCAATGTTTTAGGTAACCTGTTAGATACCATTTACTTTGCAGCATCAGTTTTATAATTCTAACTTAAGGCACATTAAAATACTCATTAAACTATCATTAAGGTGTTGATTTACGCTACTTGGCTAACTTATGAAATAATGAGACCAAAAAAGCTATATTGATACGAATTTAACAAAGCAAAAAGGAAAAATATTTGCAGCATGCATCCACGGCTTCTTAAGTTTAATCTCTTTTTTTATTTTTATAATTTATATCATTCATTTGCTGATTTATAAAGTGTTTGTTAATTAAATCTTACTAAAATATAATACTACAATACACATTAGTGGCCGAAGTGGTTGGCTTGCAAAGTTTCTGTAGTGCATCACCCTGGTTTAAATCCTTAAGCTCCCGAATTCGGGAGCTTAAGGATTTAAACCAATTTTATAATTATTTTACAATTAAAAAAAAATTAAACATATAAAAAAAAAAATTGAGTCCTATAGGTATTATATACAAAACAAATATAAAGATATTATATACTATAACAAACGAAAGCGAGAGAATTTTTAAAAAAGCCTAAAGTTTCAAAAAACACCGGAAGAAATTTGTTTTCGCATTAGTCATTAATAATGTGCTTAGATAATTTTTATAAATAAGAAATCAAATTTTAATAATCAATTTTATGCTCACGATGTTATTTAGAACTGCAAACACAGAACTACGATACATGGCTGAATGGTTTAGAGCAAACAATTTTTTCTAAGTTTAACTAAAACAAAGTATACTTTTTTTCAACGCTAAACTAGACTTGAACTAGACAAAATTCGATTAAAACTTCCAAGCCTTTGAATTAATAATTGCGAAATAAATTGAGAAATATCGTTAAATTTTTTAGCAGTATTTTTTGGCAATAATGTAAGAGAAATCATTTCTCATTGAGAAATCATATAAAATATATTGAAAGTAAAATATCATGGAGCATTGACCTCCTTTATAGTGCATAACCATTTTTAAATTCAAGTTGTTTAAAACTATACCATTTCTCCTTTGTTCATTCTTTTTTTAATTACACTTATATGGTGAAGAATCAATAAAAATAAAATAAAAAATGATTTACACTAAACTAATTACGAAATTGCAAAATACCCTCATGATTGATATATCAATTAAATAAAAAGTATACTAATTTTAGAAAAGATTGAGTTGGACTTCGGAACTTTTTAAATTTAAATATGTCTTTGTTATTAAATAAGTGTTGCTATCCTTTTTTATTTTTTGTTGTTATTCTTTTTATTTATCTTTAGATCCTTTGTTTAGTGTTCTGAAGTTTAATATTAAAACAAAAAATTTACTCCATGATTTTTATTTAAATAAAATATTTCCGAGCATTTAAGAGAATATGTTTAAGTTAATATAGCTTCTTGTTATATTTTAACAATAGATTTTTTATTTATTAATTTATCAATTTTACGTTTGTTTATTTAATATAGTTAACGGAAATGCTTATTTTTTAATTAAATTTTATATTTCCGGATTTTATCAAGGGCCTTGGCTATAAGAATTATGTCTTCTTATCGCCCCTGCTACCTATATCTTGTTAGTAACTTTTAGATTGCATATATTTACGCGAAAAAAAAAAATTTAAAAAAAATAAATTAAAAAAAAAATAAAAGTTAGTAAAGTCTGGCGTTTGACATACATTAAAGTGACGGTGACGATTTATTATTTAACGTAGCGGGGGCCCAAATAAGCTGGAGAGTCTGAAAACTAATAATGGTCTGAAAAATTAATAAAGAAATAAATTTAATAGGTCTATCCTGCTACTCCAGAAAGTACTTCTGTGAAAGCAAAAAAAAGAAGATATTGCCTCTAGCTAACAAATACATCTAAACTTTCTTTAAACAAATATAAGTGTTTATGTTATTTTAAATTTTTTTTGCTATAAATATATACGGCCAGACTAAAAAAATTTTAAAGTGGATTTTGTTAAGATGTGGAATTGAACTCTTACGAAACGAAACCAACGATAGCGCACTAAACATTGTTCTTTTAAAGTTTTTCGTTTTATCGAAAAACAAGCGATTTTTTTATATTGCTTAAAGCAATTGCCATTAAACAACACTTTCAAGCAGGTTTTCTTATTAGGCGCAGCATTATTGCCAATCAATATAGTTGCGCCTATATAAACACAATATATGCAAAAGAAATCCACTTATATTACATTATATACACAATCTTGAGTAATATAAGTAACATTTTCTAACAATTAAAAGTCTTTCTTACGTAAACTGTTTAATTTGAAATTTTCGTTTTTCTTTTTATAATCTTTTCTTTCACTTAAGTTAGGTTTTGCGGTTTATCCTCCGCCAGCAAGTTGCCTTGTAAAGGCCACATTACCTAGGTCCGC